AGAGGTTAAATTTCCCAGTGAAACGAAGGTATTTGCCCTGAAATGGGAAAAGCACCCCCAGCCCCCGGGCTGGGGAACCCGCGGAGCCGTCAGGGCCTGGTGGTAAACCCTGCCCCCAGCCCTGCACCTGGCACCGGCCGCCGCGGGGGCACATGTGCGCACCACGCCACTGCCAGCCGGGCCCGGCCTGCCCCGGACTCCCCGTCTGGGCCCGGCCCGCGCCTGGCGCTCACGGAGCCCCCGGAGAGGGAGGGGGCACGTCGGCACCGGTAGCGCTGCTCTTAGGCCCGAGCCGGACCCGGTCTCGATATCAACGCTGCTTTTCCCGGCGTTCGCCGCCTGCACGGGCCAAGCGCGACCGCAGTTCCGCAGTGCTACCGGGCGAGGGACGAGATTGCGCCGGCCACCCGGTACGCGCCGGAAAGCGGGGCCGGGGGCAAGGGCTGCGCCGGGCGAGATTGGAGCGGGCGACAGGGCGCCCGGTGAACGCCGTCAGCGCAGCCCTTCTCCGCGGGCGCGGCTCCTGCGCGTCGAGCCCGGCGCCGGGTGAGCCATGGCCCACGGCGACAGGGAGGACAGCGCAGAGCCGCGCCTGTAGCTGCAGGACGCACCGGGCGGTGGACCGGACCCTATGGGGTCCCGGTGCCGAGGCCAGATCCACAGCTCCCTCGGGCGAGGAGTCCGAGACCTCCCGTTCCCGCAGCCGCACGGTGAGGCGCTCCCGTGGCGGAGCGGGACGCGAAGTCCAAAGCCTGTCTGCCGAGCTGCCCTCAAAAATCCGCTTCAGAAAGATGAAGGCGCATGCAAATGTGTGGCGCCTCCTTGCTTGTGCCTTTAATCATGGTAAATTGACTCTAGTTCCTCCAGGCCCCCCGAAAATGCACCGCACCACAGCAGAGCTGGAACTCCCAGCGCGCCGCGCACCCGCACCCGCCGCCACCCCGGGGCGTCTGGCGCGGCCCCGGCGCCCCGTGAGATCCCGCTCTCTCAGCAATTTTCCTACCCAAAAGCTGCCGTGAAGGGAACAGCGCGCAGAGATAGCATCAGCCTGCCTATATCAAAGAGACCCTGCTTAATTAAAATACCGGCTCCGTGTTCGCCGCCTTCTACGCGGCGCGGCCTCAGACCGCTCAGTGCCGGCTCCGCTCCCCCAGGGATTGTGCGGGGGTTCCTGGCTCCCCGGGCGGGGGTCTACGCGTTTGAAGGCTGCACCGGCACCGAGTGCGGCCCCCGCTGCCCCCAACCCACCCTCGCCATCCACCGGCCGCTTTTCGGTGGGCACTTTGGCGGCCCGGGTCCGGTCACCGGCTCCGTGAGGCTGCCGGGCGATCGGGACCCTCGCTTACCCAAGGCGCAGCCGGTCTGGCCGACAGGCTTATCCCCGAGGGGACTCTGCGTGGTTCACGGCGAGCGTTTGTTTGTGCTACTGAGCAAGAGCCCGATAATTTATTGTTATTGTTATTAGTAACTACACTTTGCAGCTCGCTTACATTTGTCCTTCCGAAGGAGGGAGAGCAGCTGAATCAGTCACAGCCGAGCACAGCCGCCGGCCTCTTTTCCCGGCGGTGACGGCTCTGGGGCCCGGGGCCGTCGGTGGGGAGCCCCCGGGGGCTCGGTCGAAGACCGCGGGCTGCAGAGCCGTTAGCAGCGCCCGGTGTGGGGGAAACTCGGAGGTCTCCATCCCGTGCACCGGCCACGAGCTCAGGCTCTGTTCACCGTGCGGTCGGCCTGGTGTCCCTGCGTTCTCCGAGCGCTGCCCGCTACGGCGGGCTCCCAGTCAGCGGTGTTTCGCAGTAGGCAGTTGGCAGGCGGGGAAGGTGCAGAGTGCAGCTGTGAGTGAAGAAAATAGGACAAAGTGAGCAGGGACACCCCCACCGTTGTTGCCCTGCCGTTCTCACCCCGCAACCCGTCGTCGGGGTGCCGCGGACAGAGTCGGAGACCGGCGGCCGCACAACAGCGAGCGGGCGGTCCGCCTCGTTGTGGGGCGGCCAGCGCTGCCGGCTTGTGGCCGGTGTAGCTACCGGGGTGCACGGCCCCGCGGGCTCTGCTCGCCCCGGTTGACCCCGGCCCTGCTCCCGGCCCTGCTCCCGGCCCAGCCCCGCCGCGCCCGCGGGAGCCCCGGCCGTGCCGCCGCACGCCGGCAGGGGGCAGGCTGCGCCCGAGGCCCCGCCGCACCGGGCAGCCGGGCCGGGGTCAGCCGGGCCGGACCAGGCCGGGCCATCCATTGCCCCCCCCCCGACTGGGTGCATCCGCGGATCAGGCAGCGCACCCACGGGCTGCACGGCTGGCCCGGCCCTCGCCGGCGCGGCAAACCGCACAGCCTCCGGAGCTCCCCGCAGGAAGCAGACTCAGCTCCCAGCGCAACATCCCCGGTCCCACAGGGGCAGCGGGCGGTGAAATCGGTACCATGGGGAGCCCGAGCTGTGTCCGGCTGGGCTGCCCCCAAGCAGGGAGCCGGGAATGCCCACGGAGCCGGGGTTACACGTGCGTGACGGCAGCCGCGGTCTCCTCACCGGGGCCGGCATGCTCACACAGAGACACAGGGACTTCCTCTGCTCCTGCTGTCGAGCCTCCCGCGGCCCCGCGCTGTCCCGAGCACAGAGGCGGTTCTGTCAGGCACACATCTGCAGACCCACAAAGTAAGGGGGCTTTCCTCGAGAACCCTCAGCTGAGAACCCGCAGCTCCCCCCGGGGTTCTGGCACACGCATGGATGCAACGGGCGGGGTGAAGGGACGGGACGCCCTGTCCCGCCGGAGCGGCACCGGCCGCGGCTGAGCTTGGCCAGGAGCACTCAGTGGCACCGGCCCCTGGCTCCCGGAGGCTCAGCTATCCAGTACTTATCCCGGTGCTCCGTTCTCCCCTGCCTCGTTTAGGAGATGTGGAGATGTGCCTGGCTGCGTTCCTCGCTCGAGTCTCAAAATTAAACCAAAACACCTCAAAACAAAAAGATTTGCCTTGCAAATCAAGGGAGAATTAGAACGAAGCCACGGGGAGGTGGGGTTGCGTTAGTCTTGGTTTGGTTTTATTTCTGTGATGGTTTTGCGCGTGGGTGTTTTAATTGTATTTTGTTTTCGTTAAAAGCACTATATAAACCGAATATAACACCTCATCGAATTGTTCTCGGGGAAGAGGCAGGGATAATAATTATCCGGTGCAGCGTTCGTACACACACACGGCAAGAAACAACAAATCTTTGGTGTGATATTTGCGAGTAAAAGCCTACGAACAAAGATGGAATTATTGCTGCGGGTGCGATTTGGGAGGGTTCCTGCTCTGCTCTCCACGGCCCCGCCGCACAGCTCTGCTCTTCGCTTTTGGTTTTTTTTTTCCTTCTTTTTTAAATTAAGAAGTTACGAAAACTGCTGCAGAAAGAGGAGCTCTAATTTTCCTCGCAATTGTAGAAGATAATTTGAGGGAAGTCCCGTGTGATGGAGAACACGGAATCCGTCACGGAAAATAGGAAGGGAACATAAAAAATTAATGTGAACGAGAAGCTTTCCTCTCCACTGATTGAACTCTGAAATCTAAGCAGGTTTTATCTTGATCTTAGAATTGAATAATCATATATTATTTTTTCAGCATTAGCTACAAAGGTTTTCAGATTTGTACTGTCCAGAACAAAAACCAAATATGCTCCATTACCAAAACCCCTTTCCAAAATATTTAAGTAAAACAAGAATTTCTTTGAGAGATGTTTCTGTACGAAAAGGCTTTATCTTAAGACCCAGGGAAAAAAAGCATTAAGTAATTCAAGTTAACACTTGTCTCGCTTATTAAGTATCAATATTTTGGGAGCGTTACAAAACAAACTCCCTTCCCTCGGCGGGGTCACGGCATTTCGCGGGTCACATTAAGAAACCCCGCGCGGAATCCCGTCCGGATTTTCATTTCCTCGGGTTTAGATTTTTAACGGTATCGGCAGGAGAAAACCTCCAACAACAAAACCGAAAGGAACGGGAAGCCGGGGTCGCGCAACCGCGCTCCCCCCCATGCACGGCGGCCGGTGGGGATCGCCTTTCCCGGCCGTTGCGGTTCCGCACGGGGAGCGGGGAGCAGAGCGCAGTGCGTTACGGTGCGGTTCCTTCTGCGCGCTGTCCGCGGACTCCCGCACCGCACGCACTAACACGCGATACCGCAGGCACGCAGCTTAGCGGTACCGCTCCCGGTAAACGCCGGTCCGGGAATGCCACGATCTCACCCGGGCTGCCGTCTCCGCGGGAGGTTTCCGCAGCTCTCGGGCCTCTGCGGGCAGGAGCGGGGCCCCCGGACGCTTCTCCGGGTCCACTCGTGGGCAGCTCCGCCACGACCGCCCGGGGCTGCCCGGCAACAATTCCCTCATCCCTGCAACCCATCCCGCGTTCCCTCCGGGACCGGTCGCGCAGCCACCGCCCGCGCGACAGACCCACGTCCCCGCCAGGCCCGGCCGCCCTGATGGACGGTCCCGTCACCACCTGCCCACGGCCCGGCGGGGAACGCGCGCTGCTACCTACCCCGACAGGGCAGGAGCCAGGAGCCGCCGTCGGGCCGGTAGCGGGGCGGGAAGCGGAGCGGCCGCGTCCCCGCTCCGCCGCGATCCTCGGCGGCCGCGCTCGCTCTGCCACCCGGCCCGCTCCGGTGCCGGTCCCAGCCCCGTTTGCCGCTCGCTGCGCCGGGGTGCGCGGAGCCCGCCAGCCCCGCGCCCCGGGCGCCGCTGCGCTTCGGGGGCCGCGGGGGCCCGGCGGGGCCAGGGCACTATTTGACGTCGAGGAGACGAATCACCGCGGCGCAGCGATACGGCGCGCACCAATGGAGTTCAAATGTCAGCAAGTTTGAGGAGGGGTGAGGCACCGGGGGGTGTGTTCCTCCGCCGCGGCCCCTGCTCTAAACGGCGCGGCTCCTCGGGACGCCGCATGGCACATGGGCTGCGGAGCGCCGGGGAAGCCCCGCCGCCCCGCCCGGCCCCGCCGCTCCGCCCGGCCCAGCCCCGGGAGGGCCCTCCGCGGAGGGCGTGGGGCTCCGGCGCTGCCGGCGAGCAGGTGACACCGCGGGCTGCCCTGCGCCGTGTGCGCGGCATGTGCGCGCCCGCTTAGCGCGGGCTGCCCCCATGGGCAGCGGCGCCGGCTCCTTCCTCTGCCCCCCGTCTCTGGAAGTGCAGGCAGGAAACGCTCCTCATGTCTCCCAGATAAAAATAAAAGCGACTCCCTCTTCCCGGCCGCAGAGTGCCCCCGCGATCGGCCAGACGCGGGGCTGAGCCGGCCCCGCCGCCCGGCAGCGCTTCTCGCCGCCGCCCGGAGCGCCTCTCCCCGCCGTCGCCCGCCCCATGGATATCGCAACAGGTCCCGAGTCCTTGGAAAGGTGCTTTACGCGGGGCCAGTCGGACTGCTCAAAGATGCTGGACGGTATTAAAATGGAAGACCACCCTCTGCGCTCGGGTCCGGCCACGTTAGGAGTGCTGCTGGGTGAGTTGCCGTTCGCTTCTCGTCTGCGCCTAAAGCGGCCCCGGAGCTTCGCGGGGCCCGGGGCCGGCTGCGGCGGGGCCCTGCCGGACTGATGCGGCCGCCTCGCCTCGGGCTGCAGCCGGGCACATAATCGTCTCACCGGCGTTTGTGGGGTGCGGGTTCGGCAGCGGCCGTCAGGCTCAGTGTCGCTGAGCTCCCGGGGCTGGGGCCGGGCTTCCGCTGCCCGCTGGCTGTCCCGGGGCCGGGAAGCGGGACCGGGGGAGTGGGGCCGGCGTCGGGACAGGGGATGGGGGCCGGGACAGGCGCTTCATGCCGCTGTCTGCCGTTCGCAGGGTCGGACTGCCAGCACCAGGCCGTCTGCGAGGGCTGCCAGCGGCCCATCTCGGACCGGTTTCTGATGCGGGTGAACGAGTCCTCCTGGCACGAGGAGTGCCTGCAGTGCGCGGCGTGTCAGCAAGCCCTCACCACCAGCTGCTACTTCCGGGACCGAAAGCTCTACTGCAAGCAGGACTACCAACAGTAAGAGCGCGGCGGGGCTCAGCGGGGCCCGGCGCGGTGCCGCCGCCGGCGGGGAGCACTGGCAGCCCGGCACGGCACGGCACGGCGTCGCGCCGCGGGCTCGGAGCGTGTTTCAGAGCGGGCCGCCGTCCCGAGCCTTGCGGAGCGGGGAATCACCGGCCCGGGCCCGAGGCTGCGGGTGGCGGCCCCGGCAAGCGGGGACCCAGGCAGCGGGCGGGACCGGAGAGACTTTGAGCCATTTCGCCCGTCCTAAGCAGGGAGCTGCCGCCTGTCCCCCGGCTCCGCCGCTGTCCGGCACCCTGCGGCGCCGTCGGAGCGGTCCAGCAGCGGGCCGGCCCGTTTCGGCCCGGCTCAGCTCCACTCGGACAGCTCAGGCAGCGCCGCTCTCGGGACAGCCCCGCAGGGCCCTCCTTCCCGGGACGAACCCCGTCCCACCGCCGCCCGCAGCTCCGGGACATCCGTGGAGCGGAGCGGTCCGTGCCGGCTGCCCGGCGGCGGGGCCGTCTGTCCGCTGCCCCGGGCTATCCCGGCAGAGCCGCCCCGCCGAGCCGAGCCGCCGCCGGGCGCGGAGGGTGCGCGGGCGGCCGCGGGGCCCAGCCGCGGGGACTGGCGCCGGTCGAGGCTCCGCGGCCGGGCGCGGCAGGAGGAGCCCGGCGCTGGCCCCGGCCCGCCCGGCCCGGGCGCTTTCTGTGATTTAGGCTTTATCCCCAAATGTCAGGCTTTGTCGGGCGGCTGCCCCCCGCCGCGCCGCGTCCCTGCGCGGAGACAGAGCCCTGCCCGCGCCGCGCTTGTCCTCCCCTGCAGAAGCCCACTTCATGCTTGTCACCGAAATTGAGGATCCTTTTTGTGCCGGGAGGGGGGCGAACATGGGCACTTCAATCACTGGGACATAATATGGCTCTGCTAGAAGTCTGGCAACAAACAAAGAACAACAACTATTGGTTTGCATCAACTTTTGTCAGGCATTCAGCAGGCTTCCAGAAAGGCCTGAAGTGGCTTAGTGGCAACAATGTGCATTTCATAGCTACAGCATGAAAATCCATCTCCATGGAAACTGGTAGTAAATGCTAACATGACATGCTGGGTATAAATATTGTTAGGGTTATAACTCTTGTATAAACGGCCCAGATAAATGTCCCCCTGTTTAGGAATTACAACAAAATGTGTTATTTCATGCTGCAGCCCTCACCAGAGACTCTTCCATGGGCCCGGGTTCTTCACATGAGAAAAGCTCAAAGCTCGCTGCCGCAGCCACCCTCACTGGGCCAGGGCCTGGTGCTGGCCGGGTTTTCTCATACCCCTGTGCAGAGAGCAGATCCACAGACTTTATCTTTTACTTCTATACAAAATAAACCACCCCGTGAGAGCTGTAGTTGTAAATCAATGAAACCTCTGCCTCTGTAGGTAGTACTACTTAGGTATTTTGGTTAATTCGTGAAGAGTTTAGAATAGTCTTTAGGCTACCTAAAAAAAGCATCATTTGGCTGTGTAGATATTTACATTAATTACACACCCATGTACCCTCTGAGTCCCATCTTTAGTTTCTGCGAAATAGGGGATTGTGCTTCATGACTTTAAAAAGCAAGATTACAGGCTGCTCCTTTGTAAATGCAAAAACACTTTCCTGACTGAAAATAGAAATGTCACCGCTTCAGAACTTTCCGTGTTATCAAAGGTGTCCAATTGTATAGGGGGGAAATGGGGTAACCAGGCTGACGAGCAATAAAAAGATATCAACATGTTGGCCTTTGTTGAATCCCAGCACCTCGCGTGACATGACATGGTCACCTGCTGTGTGTGCCCCTCCGGACTGACAGCAGCAGCGGCTCGTGGAAAGGGGAGGGCAGCCACCGTAAATCCAAATTTGTTTTCCATGAAATTTTATTAGTCCAAAAAAGCAAGCACGTGAAACTGCGCTGATGCTGTTTGTGTGCTTCCCCTGCCTGCTGCCTTTTAGACCTGGAGAAATACCCTTTTCTGATAGCTGAAGGATAAAAATAGCTGCTCGTACATGGCAAGCGGTTCTGGGCTGTGCGGTGCAGGCAATCGGTTTGATCAGTAAGGGAGTGGAGGGAGGAGTGAAGCCATGAGCAAGTTGTGCAAGTCGTCTCCAATGTGCGGGAGCAACCATCGTCCTGGGCTGTAGCATTCCGGGGTGGAAAATGCCTCTGCACTAAGAAAGCTTGATTTGGAGTAGTGAGATGAAATGGTATCAGTGCAGAGGAAGACCGGTATCAGCAAAATCTGATGCTTTTTGTTATCCTGAGTCCTATTTACTGACCTTGGGGGGGGAAGGGGGGGGAGAAAAAGGGGGAAAAAAAGAAAAAAGGGAGAATAAAGATTACTTAAATATCTTAGTTACTGAAATTTGCTTTAAATAGGTTTTTCTGTAAATAGTAATGTAATTTAAAGGTCAGATTTCTCCAGAACTCCCAGGACTATAATCAAATGCTGTGTGTGTATCTTTGGAAAACTGATGTCTCGTCTTTCTAATGAAAGCAAGCTTCTGATGGGTCAGATATCAGACCTTAAACCTTTCACTGGGTCAGGAATGATTCCTGCCCATCCTTGGATGAGGGCATTTCACATTAGGGGGAAGGGGGAAAACATTTTTCTTTTTTTTTCTTTTTTTTTTTTTTTTATAAAAATGTTGCCTGTTTGAAGCTGCCCCTATGCTTGGAATGTTAGAACAAATCCCGGGGGAGATGGATTAGTGGCCCAGGCACAGTTTGAGGTAGTCAGAGGTGCCTGATAGGTGTAATTTATCACAAAATATCATCGGTACATCAGTGGGACTGGTGGGACAAGCTGTGCATGCGTTTTACACTGGGTTTATACAAAAGATTCAACAATTTTTTTGCATGAGCACATCCTGATTTTCTGATTTAATTCAGTCAGCGCACTTCTTTTGCTAAAATGTAAGATTTTGAGGGTCACAGGTATGTTTGATTGCAAGCTTTTTGTGTGTGTGGGGAAACCAGAGCAGTCCAGTGGCACCAGGGAGGCTGGCTCTGCAAACCCGAGTCAAACAGAATCTCTCTGATTTTAATGAGAGCTTTGCCAAATGGCAGGGGGAGTGTTGCACACTTGGAACCTTACCCTTACACTTTTTTCCTTTAAAAGAAGTTTTCTTTCTGACAAACGGAAGCCTTCAGAAGGAATATTTATCAAAAACAAGGGGTTTGCGGTAGTTACGTTCTGGTTCTTTGCTTAAATGAATTTATTTATTGTGCCACTCGTAACAGTGCTTCCTGCTATAAAACATTAGTAATTATAAATATTACATTTCTTTCCCATTTGTATATTTTCATTTGTTTTGTGATTGTGCTTTCCTGGTTTGTTTTTATCTCACTATCCAGCACTATGTAACAATATACCCTAGTTATTGCTGACATTAAACAAAAAGATATGCTATGAAAAATAACCGTTTCAGGTTACATATTTCATATGTAAGAAATGCATATAATTTCTAGAAAGATCCATATTCCTATTCTAGCTTTGGAAAGAAAGGCTGTAGAAGAGGTCAGTTATTCAAGAGGTAGGAGAGCAAACAATCACAGTTGCTATTTCAGAATGGTACGTTAATGCATTCTAAGTTTTGCTTAGAGAAATAGTTTTTTGTTAGATTCTTCCAGATATGTCAGGCGTTGTTTTAGCATCATTATTGGGTGCTGTTAAAAAAGCCTTGCTCTATATTTCTGGTACGTCTTTATACTGTTCTTCATCTGTAAGTCCTTTCTTGTCAGTGACTGGGCTTATTTTTTATGTGCAGTCAGCACGGAGCAGCATGTACCTCGCAGGAAGGAAAGAAAACGCTGCGAAGCCCCGTTGCTGTAGGGGAATGTTCCCCCTCTCCACACTTCGAAAGTTCTTTCATAGGAGTATAATACCGAGGCTGATGTTTCCCAGTTCAGTTGCGTTTTACGTTGCAGTAAGACAAAAGCTTCCTATTAGTAAATGTCTCTTATTTTCATGACTGTTATTTTTCATCCAGAGAGAGCGCGCGCATGTCCGTGGGGAGCGCGGGCTGAGGAATGTAGGCAGGATCAGCAGTGCAGGAGGTGACTTGAGCTCCCAGATTCTGCTACATGCAGAATGGACAATAACCATTTGCTAACAGGAAGGTTTTATTTGTCTTCAGTTGTACTTGCTTTTCATTTTTTAAACCAAGGAGAACCAGGCGTGTTGTTACACTCACTGGTGCAATTGCTCCTCATGGGAACTCAGCAGAATTGTGCAGGGCGCTGGTGGCCCCCCCCCGGTGTCATTTGCGTCTCGTGTCAGGCTGGTGCTTGTCTTTGTGTTATTAGGAAATGGCATAAAAACAGAGTGAAACTCAGAGGTGAGGAGTAACCTAAGCACATGCCCAGGACATGGAGTAATGATTAAAGTTATGTCATGCGCTAAAAATGCTTTTAAAAGTCGCTGAAACACTGGCATTTTTGCTGACAATCCAAGCAGCCCTGCACTCTCAGCCACATCAGCCTGGTTCAAAACCCTCAGTACTGTCAGGTTTCCGTAAGCACCTCGACACAGTTCCAAAAGCGGGAATGCTGAGGAAACGTAGCTGTTATTTCTGACGTCAGCAGAGTCGCTGTAGTTGGGCTGAGCCCCCACAGGTCCCCCCGTGCTGGCAGGAATTTATCCCGTAGCACACAGGGCAGATACCGGCACTGGAGCCCAGAGGTGGTTCCAGGTTAGCCTTAGGAAATACTTAAAACAGGGGATCTGGAATGGAGCATGGTTTAAGAATTTGGGGAGACATTTTGGTTTTCTGCTGCAATCATGGTAACCTTATTGGACAAAATAATTGCAATGGTGGTAGGTAATTTGCACTAATCCGTGGTAGAAAATGATAGGGGGATCTTTTTGTAATACAGGTAGTATGCAATTAGATTAATAAGAGGATAATTTATAATGCTTAACTACCAACCTGGGAAAAAATAGCTAACAAATACAAAATTCACTGCAAAAATATCTTCACTGCTGTATATAAGAAA